CCCCAACACTGCCAAAAGTCCTCTGGGAGGAAATACACCCTCCCCCCGCCCCACTAGTTGAGAACCACTTGGCTAAATTAATAAGTACACAGAAAACTAAGCAAAGCAAATTTTAAAAAATTATTAATTCAGAGGAAACAAAACATTATACATAAAAAAATTAACCACAGTACACAGGGTCATCTGTGAATGGTTTAATACTTAAGTGTGTTCCTTCTAATCTTTCAATGCATATAATCCTAAATTGTTTCTTCTTCTTCTTTGCTTTTTGCTTGTTTGTTTTGTTTTGTTTTCTGTACTGGGTATTGAACCCAGGATCTTGTGCATGCTAGGCAAGCACTTTTGCTACTTGAGCCACACAGCCCTGAGCATTTTCAATGATACCTGAAATGTTGACTTTTATGGAATACTCCAATTTATTTAAGACACTATTGCATTTGGTTTGCCTCTTACTGATGAAAGAACAATACCTCAAAAAAAATATTAAGACAAAAATCACCAAATCCAAGAATGAGCACTTGTAGCACTATACTGACTTTCAAACAATTAGGAGAAATAAAAGTAGAATATCAATTTTATATGTTCTGCAGTAGATATTGGTGAACAGAGTTTATAAAAATCAGACGAGAGATGAAAAACAAGTTGTTTATTGTTTGGAGAATCTCTCAAATATTAGTATTCCTTATACAGCTGTGAAGCTGTTATAAAATTCAACTGAGTTAACAGCACATACCATCATACAAATAAATGCTCAATAAATACAAGTCATTACTACCATCAGTAGATGCCAAAAATCAGTTCCAAATGTAGTAGCTACTGCATGGAAAAAAGATGACAAAAAACCCACGGAGATGGAATTTACATTTCTACTCTCTTTCTTTTTCTTTTCTATTTTCTATTTATATGTTCCATGAAGCGAAAGCATCATTTTAAAAACATTATTAATCCATACCTCATCCTTAGTTATGCTGAAAGATACTTAAGAGAAGAATGAATTTTGCCTACGATTCTATTTTTTCTCTAGAGTATAGTAATATGAAATGAGTACTCAATAAATGTCCCAAGTCCTTATAAGGAAACAGAATAATAAAACATCAACTAAGCAATACTTAAAATTGGGATGATATTAAAAGCCAAATCTCAAAGACAATATCAATATGTCACAATTCAAAGACATATGGCAGGATGAAACAGTAAGGCAAAAAGTTTTGTTATTCTCCTCAATGAACACACCACACTGTTCTTTTCTGGGTACAACTGAGGAAGAATACTAAAAATGCTAGATTATGTCCAAAAGACAACAAGTGATAAACAGTTAAAGAACTGAGGATGCCTGGACTCCAGAACCCAGAGCCAGCCCTCTTGCCTTCTTCCTAAAGAAAGAGAAAAGCTAGCCTATGGAAAATACTTCCAAGATGCCTGTGTTGTTCAGAAGAAGCAATCAAAAGAATGACAGTACAGAGATCTAGACTTCTCTCAATGCAAAAACGTAAAACAACAGACCTCTTCTAAGAAAAAGATGTTACTAGAGATTAATCACGAAGTTGGAAAATAGCTTGCTAACTGCGCTGTGGAAAACCTATAAGCAAAGGATAACTGGGAGAATTCTAAGTTTCCTTACAACCACACCAATGAGTATCTGATCCAGGAAGGACATCTGTCCTAGATTCGTAATATATACAAAAAAAAAAAAAAAAAAAAAAGGCAAAAGGAAGAAACATACGAAGATCGCTGCCATCAAGGAAGTCACAACAAATAATATAAAAAATGTGCAATACAGTTTAAGACCATAATAGATGCTCTAAAGCACTATTAACTGCCAAATGAATCATATATATATTATATATATATATGTAAAATCTTCAAAGAGGGAGAAATCCCAAAGGTTAAAATAGTCAGAAAATGCCTTTTAGAATAAATGAGATATTAGGTTCTTATGGAAAAAAATGTGTATGAAGGTTTTGAACAGGTAAGAGGGAGAGACAACACAAAAGTGAAAAGCAAGTTGGAGAGAAACCTGTTTGGCTACATTAAAAACTTGTTTCATGGGAAAAGATAAGCTAGGGAAGAGCAGGTTGTGGCCAGAACCAACTGTTCTGAGCCTTGAATACCAAGCTACATAGTTTCAAATTTATCCTGCATACAGCCTCTGCAGCAATTACTCAGCTGCTGGCATAGCCACAGAAAATAGTAAGTAGCATGGCTGTGTTTCAATAATGAAACTTGAAGTTCATATATTTACATGTTTCACAAAATTTTATTATTCTTTTTTTCTTTAACAATTTGAAAAATTTTTTAAAAGTCATTCTTATGGTCCATATAAAAACCAGCTATGAGCTGGATTTGGCCCATGGGCTGTAGTTTGCCAACTTCTGTACACTAAGCTGCCTTCTTCAGCATTTCTCTAAGGTACATTCGTCCTTGAGTTGCAGACACCAAATAATTTATTATTCATTCAACTACTATATGCATGCACACACCTAATCAAGATCTACATCCAGTAAGGCACAGAGGTTCCATATACAAAGGTCCTCAAAAACAAACAAAATAAAATCCTCTAGACTGTTAATGATGAGTCATTAAAACAGAAGCAATAAATTTTTTAAATGTGTTTTTTACAGAGTATATGTACTTAGAGAGATATAAACTATTACAGACCCTCAAGGTTACATGGAAGGATCTATAATCAAGGAATGGTAGTAGGGAACATGAGTTCTAGTCATGAATTTGCCATTTACTCATTACTTGACCCTGAATAAGTCACTCAATCCTCTAGCCTTAATTCTCTCACATGTAAAGTGAATGTGTTTAATTTACTGATTACTAATGATCTTCTCTTAGCTTGAGCACCATTATGATTCTACTATAATTTGAATAACAAAGATCAAATAAAAGTAATAATTAAGAGCACAAAAAAGAGAAATGCCTTGACTAAATGAGTGGGCTCCCAGGATGAGCAGTATCACCAAAATCGAGGAATACTTTATTAAATAAAAAATATCAAATGCTACAGTAGAAAATTCAAGGAAGAGAAGAAGAAAGGGAAAAAAAAAAAAAAAAAAAGCCAGTGCATTTGGTCATTTAAGAGACCCCTGGTGAACTTCAGGAACAGTTTCTAGTAATCCAGAAGCAAAGATGGAAGTGGAGGCAACCTCTTGCATGAATGAGTATGTCCATCAAAGATGACAACAAAAACACTAAGAAAGGCACGGACCTCAAGCGATAGCCTTCAGTTGTAAGAGTACTGTGCATGTTTCCAGGAATCATGTAAGGAACGGGGGAAGAACGAAGATGACACTAAGGAATAGAAAACAAAGGCAGAAAATCCAGAAAAAGCAGAAAGAAAAAAAAGTTACAATGAGCTTGAAGCCTCAGATAATTGAGTCAGTCCAAAGGAGTATTTAATCTTTAAACTTCCACGAGGTAAAAACAGCACTACAGCATCAGTTTTTACAAACAGATGTTCGTTCCTGTATCAAAATTTCTACAAATCAAACTATTAAGAAAATTAATCTAACGGTAAATTTTCTTAAAGCAAGGTTCCACATATTTTCTAACAGTTGAAAAATTAAGAAAGAATTAGCTTTACTTTTCGTAAGAATGGAAACCAGCAATATGTAGCTCTCAGAGGAAATACATGTTTACACCTTTCTCTTAGCACCTATCACTTCCTTCCTTGCATGAGAGTTACTTAGGCAGTAAAAAACCTAGCTTCTGATTGGGGCTCAAGAAGTACTAGTTAGTTTTTTTCCTTTCCTAGTAGCTTAGAAAGCTCCACGGCAAGATTTTCTGATAAATTCATCTGTTTATCTGCTTTGCACGGTGATACTTCATAAATAAATACTGACGCATAACTCTGCCTTTAAAAAAACACCTTGCAAAACAACGATCACTGCCCCTCTGATAAAAGCTGGGAAAATTTTCGAACCATACAGGTACATAATCGGACAAAATCACTTTCGCATTCTGTCTGAACTTATTTGTGTAGCAACGAATTGCTACAAAGTAACTAAAAATGACCCCCAAAATGTTAGCGTTCGTAACAATCACTCATAAACATCAAGATCCTATCTAGCTAATTTCAACCTAACACTTGCCTCTATTTAAGGTATATGAGAAACTAAAAATCCAAAGCATTAGCTTGATGATCATCAGTTAAAAATACACGTTCGAATACGCTGGAGATATTTATAAAGACAACGGAGATACTATTAATATGTTGAAACTCACGGGCCAGGGCTGGATTCTAACCCTTAATCTTCTACTGTTCAAGGGAAGCCAAGGAGTGCAGGCTTCTCAGATCACTCGCTCTTAAGAATTTAAGAAGTCACCCAAATTGGCACACACAACCCAACGACATTCCCTCCCCGCTCCCCAAATAAAATAAATAAACCAGTCTGCTCTCCATATGGTCATGCTCGTCCCTTCTCAAGCGAGCCCCATTTACTACTTCTCCCGGATCTGGGGTAGGCCCCATTCAATACGCAGGCCAAGAGTACTACGAAGTAACAGGAGTTGGAGAAAGTCCGAACAGTTAACTCTGCCCTCCCACAGCCCTGGACTTGGGCGCAGGTTTCACAAGCCCTGGAAGCTGCACACCGCCACGGTCAAAGCCACAAGAAGCACCGTCACCCCGCCGTGCCCATCGGCAGCTGTTCCACGGTGTTTTCTGTGAAATGATCGGTCTCGGCCCGACGCGTTCAAGCTGGCTCCCCCAGCACACACCACCACCGCCACCCCAAAACCGGCACCCGAGTGCTCCTTTATTCGCACACCGCGGGGGGCAGGGGTCCCGGCTCCGAGGGGGAGGGGGGCCGAGACCCAGTGGGGTCCAACTGCTCGCCGCGCCCGCCGCCGCCGCACCCCCGTTCTCACGCCTCCACCCCCTTCCCCCCGCCGCCCGGCCCGGCCCGGCCCGACCGGCCCCGGCCCGGCCTGCGTTGCCTCAAGGGAGCGAGCAACCGCAGGCCTCGGGCCTAGCCGCCCCCGCCGGCCCCTCACCTCTTTAGGGACCAGCTGGTTCTCCTCGCCGGGCACCATCGCTCAGACTCCGGCCGCTCCTCTCCGCCCTGCCGGGGGTGGAAGGGTGGAGGGTGGCGGCGGCTCTGTCTCTCAGGAGAGAATAGCAGCGGCAGTCATCGCCTCCGCCGCCAGCGCTCCGGCAACCGCGGAGGCCTTTAGCTCCGGCCTTAGACACCAGCGCGCAGACACCGACCCAGGGCGCCGCCGCTGTCGCCGCCGCCGCCGCCGCCGCCGCCGCCTTCGTCGTCGGCCCCTCCTCCCGCCCGCTGCAATCAATGGAAAAATGGCGGCGGCCGTTCTCGCGAGAATTCGGACCGCCGGGCGCACAGCCCGGCGCCTGGCGCTTCAGGTGCGTAGCCACTTGTCGCTTGCTCCAGATCACTCGCTTATTCCTGACTCCGAGGTGCACAAGCTGGGTGTACCGTGCAAACGCTGTGCGTTAGAGGAAAGCTGCTCCTTCCGTCCTGGGACTCCCTCTGCCGGCAGGGGAAAGGCCAGGCCCCAGAGGCCCGCCCAGCAGGACAAGCCCGGAGCCCAAAGCCCGGTCTGTGATCCCTACCGCCCCTCTCTTCTCGCTTCCTGTTTGCAAAGCTGCTCCTCAAATACTCTTAGCCCTTGTGGTGAAGAAATCACCGTGAGCCTTCCAGTCAGAAAGGACGGCGCTTCATTTGTCTCCTGCCCTGCCCTTCCGCCTGGGAGGTCAAATCCCGCCCTGGGGGACCTCAGGGCCCATCTCCTGCCAGGGGAGACAGCACCCGGGACCCCGTGTAGCATCTCCACCGTGGGGAGGGGTGGTCCCCATCTCCGTTCAGAGGTGGCTTCCTTCCAAGAAACGTCCGGCCCCACAGCGCCCAGTCTGCGGAGGAGAGAGCCCCTGAGGGCACGGCTGCAGTACCTTCAACTTGTGATCTTCTGTCAAAATGTTTTTTAAAGAACTTTGGTCTCCTCCGGCAGTACGCATGGTGCTGTGTGTGTGTTGTAGTAAAAGAATTTTTGCAGTAGTCGTTTTTTTCTAACCCTACTCCTTCGGTTATGAAGACTTCTATGGATACAGTCATCTTATAGCAGGCTGAGATAATACAATCCTGCCATGTTCCTAACACCCCCAGCATCGACTACCTGTGTTGTGTTCTCCAAGTTTTTTTTTTTATTGTGCCCCTGTTTTACTTAAAAAAAAAAAATCTATCTATCTCTATATATAAGTTATATACTAGTCCTGCTGTGTATGACATGATAAACTATTTTTAAAATGTAAAAAGATAAAACATTTAAAATACATTTTTATATTAGTGGTACAAAAAACTTACCCCTCCCCACTAAAGATATTTAGTGAACTGATTAAGTAGGCTTCATCAGTTTTAAATAGCTTTAATACCCCCCCCATAGTGGTTCATTTATTACAGTTGATGAAGCTACACTGACACATCATTATCACTCAAAGTCCATAATTTACCTTAGAGCTCATGCTTGGTAGTGTACATTCCATGGGTTTTGACAAATGTATAATAACATGTATCCATCATTGTAGTACCACACAGAATAGTGTTGCTGCCTTCAAAATCCTGTGTGCTGTACCTATTGATCCCTTCCTCCCTTGGCCCTAACTCCTGGTAATCATAGATCTTTTTACCATCTCCCTAGTTTTTGCCTTTTCCAGAATGTCATATAGTTGGAACAATACATTATCCATCCTTTCCATCCTTTCCTCCATGTCTTTTCATGGCTTAATAGCTCATTTCTTTTTAGCACTGAAAAATACGTGGATGTAACACAGTTCATTTATATACTTGTCTACTGAAAGACACCCATGTGCATGATCTTGTGTGGCATAAGTTTTCAACTCATTTGAGTAAATGCCACGGAGTGCAATTGGTGGATTGTGTGGTGTGGATTATATGTTTAGTGTTGCAAGAAACTGTCAAACTAAGTGGCTGTACTATTTTGCGTTCCCACCTGCAGAAAGTGAGAGTTCCTGTTGCTCCATATTCTCACCAGAATTTCCTGTTGTCAGTGTTTTTGATTTTGGCCATTCTGATAGGTATGATGTGGTAAGTCATTGTTTTAATTTGTAATTCCCTAATGACATATGATGTTGAATACCTTTTCATATGCTTACTTGCCATTTGTTTATCTTCTGTTATGGTTTGAATATGTAATGTCCCCCACAGGCTCCTGTGTTGAATACTTAGCTCCCAGTTGGTAGCACTATTTTTGTAGGTGTTAGACACTTTAGGAGGTGAAATCTAGCTGGAGGAAGTAGGTCATTGCAGGGGGGCATGTCCTATGTCCCTTCCTGTCTCATTCTGCTTCCTGGTTGCCATGAGATGAGCAATTTTGCTCTGCCACAGGCTCTTGTCACCATGATGTTCTGCCTCACCATAGCCCCACAGCTATAGATCAAGCTGGCCATGGACTGGAACCTCTGAATCTGTGAGTCAAGGTAAATCTATCTTCACTTAAGTTGCCTCCGTTAGGTATTTTGTCACAGTGAAAGGTCTGACTAATACATCTTCTTTGGTGAGACATCTGTTCAGGGCTTTTGCCCATCTTTAAATTATATTGTTCACTTTTTTTTTCTGTTGAGTTTTAAGAGCTTTTTGTATATTTTGGATAAAAGTCCTTTATCAGATGTGTCTTTTGCAAATATTTTCTCCTAATGCGTGGCTTGTCTTTTCGTTTTCTTTACATTGTCTTTCACAGGTCATATGTTTTTTATTTTAATAAAGCCCACATTATCAATAATTCATTTCATGAATCATGTCCTTGGTGTTGCATCTAAAAAGTTAGCACCATACTCAAGGTCATCCAGATTTTCTCCTATGTTTGCTTCTAGAAGCTTTATAGTTTTGCATTTTACCTTAAGGTCTACAAACTATTTTGAGTTCATTTTTGTGAAGCATGTAAAGTCTGTGTCTCAATTTATTTTTTTTGCATGTGGATGTCCAGTTGTTTTGTTATCATTTGTTGAAAAGACTACCTTTCCTTCATTGTGTTACTTTTGCTTCCTTGTTAAAAATCACTTGGTTGCCAGTTCTTATAATCCTAGCTACTTGGGAGACTGAGATCAGGAGGATCATAGTTTGAGGCCAGCTCGAGCAAATAGTTTATAAGACCCCCATTTCCAAAATAACTAGAGTGAAATGGGCTGGAGGTGTGGTTTGAGTAGTAGAGTGCTTGCTTTGCAAGCACAAAGCCCTGAGTTCAAACCCCAGTCCAACCAACATAAATAAATAAGTAAAAATTTAAAATAAATTAGGTGGTTTTATTTCTAGGCCCTTTATTCTGTTCATTGATACATTTGTTTATTTGTTTGCCAGTACACACTATCTTGATTACTGTAACTTGATAGTAAGTCTTGAAGTCAGGTAGTGTAAGTCCTCCAACTTTGTTCTTTAATACTGACTTGATTATTCTGGGTCTTTTTTTCTCTCCAAATAAACTTAAAAATCAGTTTGTCAGTATCCATAGATAATTCACTGGGATTTCATTAAAATTAAATATCAAATTGGAAAGAACTAACATCTTGACAATATTGAGTCTTCCTATCCATGAATATGGGCTATCACTCCACTATTTAGTTCTATCTTTTTATCAGGGTTTTGTAGTTTTCCTCATCTAGATTTTACACATACTTTATTATATTTGTACTTCATTTTATATTATTATTAATATAATATATTATAAAATGAAATATATATTTGTATTTCATTTTGAGGGATTATTAATGTAAATGGTATTGTGCTTTTAATTTCAAACTACACTTGTTCATTGCTAATAGTGCTTTAAAGTAATATGGTAAAGTAAAATATTGACAATGGGGGAACTGGAGAGGGTATATGCAGATTCTCTGTTCTATCTTTACAACTTTTCTGCAAATCTAAAATCATTCCCAAATAAAAGGTGTTTTAAATATTTATGGCAATACTTGAGATGTTTCTTTCTTTTATATTTCAAGGCCTTCCATTGCACATTTCTATATTTTAAACTATTTTTAAAGACATATAATCAAAGTCATATGTGATTTAAGAACTAGTGATAGTATTTACTGTAGTAGTAATAGCTAGAAAAAATAGTAACTGTACTTTATAAAAGTTGAAAGACATTTTCACCATGACTATGTTTTAACAATATTGAAAAGAAAATCTTTAGAGTCGATTTGATGTAGCTCTGGAGCCACAATGACCTGTTCTGAGATTCAAACTCTGGCACTTACTCCCTTTAAAATCTTTCTGAATCTCCATTCTCTCAACCAGAAAGTGGAGGTAATAAAGTGGACCTTTGGCTGTTGCCAATTTAGCATTTGTAGTTCTGGCTAGGAAAGCTCATGACATAATAGCACTCTATAATTGTGCTAAAGAAGAAATTTGAATTTTACAAATTTGCCAAAGTAAAGGAGATCATAGAGCTAAGTGGTTGAGTGAATAAGTTAAAAATAAATTACCTGAATTTGAGCCCCACTTCTGTTATTATTAATGTAGGGTCTTCTTGGATAGATCTTTTAAGTTCACTAGTATTCTATATTATCTGTAAAATGGGAATAATAATAGCCCCACTTTACAAGCATATTATAAAGGTGGTAATAATAATGGTAGTAAAAAAACTGTGAGATATGACCCAGACATTGTATAAACATATGAATAAAAGAAATAAAAAAAAATTCCTTTGCACATGAAAAAAACTGCAACAGTTAAGATTATTACATATTAATATGATATTAATACATACAGCCCAGTTCTAGGTGTTTTACATAATTTCTTCATTCAGTTATTTCAACAGTTGTATTCATCAGTACTGCTATTATCTCCAAGTGAAGAAATTGATATAAATGTTAAAAGGACTCAACACACTGCCTGGCATAGAGTGAGCAATCAAGATATGCTGGCTACATTTATCTCAGCATTGGACAGAACTCCTTTAGGGAGTACACAGCTCTAACAGTGCCTGACATTAGTAGGTGCTTTTAAATACTTGTTGAATAACTGAATACATAATCTAGCCACTTATCTAGCAAATAAATCTTACTAATCCTTTAGCAGTTATACTTTCATTGTTCATTGTTGATTTCTCCTTTCGGCTTACATAGTACCTTCATGAAAATGATCAAAATGTTCTATGTGGAAAATGGCTCTGAAAACAAATTCAATTATTAGTAATGAGAATGAAAAAATTAATAAAGTGTTGGACTTTAGCCACAAAATAGATTCTTTGGCTAAGTTAAAGAGTGAGATGCAAAATTAGTCAATGGCTAATATTTATGATGGGGATGATGGCATTGATAAGGAAACAAGAAAAAGCAATTTGGGAAACCATTTCAGTGAGTGCTTTCATTTACTTAAAAAAGTCATCAATTGAATAAAAAGCTTAGTGAACATTGAAAAGATGACCAGCTTTTGGTATAATGATAAGAATATGAAATATGTTCAATAAAATGTAATTCAAGAAAAACCTAGAAACATGTACAAATATTTTCATAAAGCAATAAAGTGAGGGCATTAGTGTGGCTCTTCACTTACTGTGAACTCAAAGAAATATTGGTTCAAGGACCTGAAATAGCATTTTTCTATTGACATAAAATAAAGATCAAAGTCATTGCTACAGCAGCACTGACCTGTTTCTAAGCTGCACATGTCCATAAAAAAAAGTTTATAGGTCATTGTGTTCAACAGCTTGAACAAGAGACTCACATCAACAAAAAATGCCTTGACAAACACATCAAAGGGAGAGATACTAACATCAGAGCTTAAAGGAACCAAAGACATGTTGGCCGTGACTCATCCTAGCTTCTCTAGGATTTGTAAGTATTCAGATTTCAAGGTGTAAGAACAAGGAGGAGTATAATAAAAGAAATTGGAGGCATGGTGTTAATGTTTCTGAAATGATTTCATAAGATTTTTGCAATAGAGGAATGTTTACAAATTTTGCAGTTGAATAGGTCTCAATATTGCTTGAGACTCAAAGGTGGGTTGTAATAATTATAACATTTTGAGGAGTAGAAATAATGCATGTATAAGTAAATGCTTTATAGTAATATTGGTCTGGAACAGAAACAAAACCTAGCTGGGTGTGGTGGCTGTATCCCAGTCACTCAGGAGGTAGAGATTGGGAGGATAATATTTAGAAACCAGACCTGGCAAAAAGTTAGCAAGACCCCATCTCAACAAAAACAAAGAAGCTGAGTGTGATGGTGTGCAATCATCATTCCAGGTCCATAGGAGGCAAAAGTAGGAGGACCATGTCTAGACTGGCCTGGGGGAAAACGTGAGACCCCAAACTCAAAAAGGGCTAGGGGTGTGGCTCAAGTGGTAGAGTGACTGCCTCGTCTACTATCTCCAGAAAATAAAACGAACCAGACCAAAAACAAACAAATGAAAAAACCCAGAAGTGTAAAGGAAAAATGGTAATTTAAAATCTTAACTTATGTGTAGGAAAGTATTAATATAAATAAGTCAAAAGATGAAATATCGAAACAATATTTGCAACAAATACCAATGGCTAATTTTCTCAATCCAAGTAAAGAATGTTTAGAGGAGATAAACTGATATATTATTAAAGATGACATGCAAATCACCAATAAACATCTGAAAAGTGCCCACTTCATTCAGAGTCAAATAACTGCAAATGAAAATAGCAAAATACCATTTTCATTCTCAGACTAACAACATTTTGGGAGAAATAAAATTTTTTTTTGTTTGTTTTGATAGCACTTTTGTGTAAGCGTGATTTGATGATCTCATTTTCTTTTGGTGAAGCTGGGAGACTGGAGTTTGAACTCAGGCCTTTGTGCTTACAAAGCAGGCACCCTACCACTTGACCCAAATCTCCAATAATTTTTGCTTTAGTTGTTTTGGAGATAGAGCCTCATGAACTATTTTTCTGGACTAGGCTTGAACCTTTATCCTACTGATCTAAGCCTCCCAAGTAGCTAGGATTATAGGTGTGAAACACCAGAGCCTGACGTTGGTTTTATTTTGAGATAAGAGTTTTGCTATGTAGTTCAGGTTGACCTTGAACTCAGGATCTTTCAGCCCTAACTTTCTAAGTGCTAGGATCACAGGCATGCACACCATACCCAACTGAAATAAAAACTCTTATTTGAATTTCATAGACTATGAATTTAACATAAACATTTTGAAGGCAATATGGTAACGCATATCAAAATTCCAAATACATACCCTCTGATCCAGCAGTTCTAAGATTATCCTACGGCACAAGTGCATAAAGATTTACACACACTGATGTTCATTAGAGCATTGTTGGCCGTAACCCAAAACTAGGAACTATATGAAAATGTGTTAGTAGGTTCATGTAAATTATGGTACATTTATAATTTATATAATGTTTGTATAATACTATGGAGTAATTAAAATAGAATGAGGTAGAAAAATAACTGATATAGGATTAAATAAAACATAGTGTGTTAGATTTTATCCTGGAATACAC